CCCCCCCCCCCCCCCCCCCCCCCCCCCCCCCCCCCCCCGCTGCTTCCGCACCGGGACCCGATAGGGTCTGAGCTCCCTTTGAATGACAACGTTTCCCATCCCATTGCTTCAGGGTTGTTCAGCCCTCTGCCTCGTGGCTGAAATCGCTCATCTCGCCTGCAAATGTCTACTATCCTTTCTACCTAATGCACTATTCTGTATTGATTCTCCATGAGACAGAGTGAAAGAGACTATCAGATAGTTTAGACCCAAAGGGTAGGTTTTTGTATATTGTTCCAACTTTTTGTTGTTTGTTGTTGCTGTTTTTTTAAGAGGGAAGAAGAGTTTAAAAACCCAAACCGTTTTTTAAAAGTTTCCATTTTAAAAGGGAGAATCTATTTAAAGCTATTTCAGATCAGGGATCGTTATCCTTTTTGTCCAGTGTATTTCTTGTTATTAAAAAATTTTTTAGAAGAAACTAATCACATTAGCTCTTGTGTTCGCTAACTCTTCTGGTCACTTCTGTTTATTCATTTATTCAGCAGGTGTTTGTTGTCATCTGAAATGCTCATTTGCTGAATAGGAACCTTGAGTCCTGGCCCCCTGTAGGTGGGGAAGCAGAGACCCACCCTGGGCTGCCAGGGGACTGTGATGGCTCTTCTCCAGTCAGGCCCAGGGAAGGTCAGCCCAGGGTCCACATCACAACGTTTTGAATGAGAATCTTACTGAATCCCTTTTTCTTAAAAACCCCAGCCTGTGATGAGGAAATTTACTTACTTCCAGCCAGGATTTGTCAGAAAGAAATTCCAGCATCAAATGATTGAGCCGTTTGCCATTAAGGAGCTCACTGGTGAGATTTGTCATCCAGCCTCTGAGGTGCGGTCCCTTGGGGGCTGCCCCCACCACCACCCCCAGCACCGCCTGTGCCCAGCACACCTGTTGGCGAGGGTGTGCAAAATGCCTGAGCCCCGTGACACGTGATCTGGGCCGCCTTTATTCCTCGGGCCAGGAGTAGCAGCTGCTGAGGACAGCAGCTTGCGTCTTGTGATTTTAGGGAAGGGGTGGGGGGTATGGCTTCTAACATGAACTACAAAAAGCAGCTTCTCATTGTTGAGATTTTGTTTGTTCGTTTGTGGCTTTGTGTTTGTTTGTTTGTTTGTTTTTAATGCCTTTGAGTGCATATTATCTTCCTTGTCTGAAATCATACCCCCAAAGTGGCTTTCTTTAGCCCTGGCTGGAAGGAAAACCACTCCCCAGCAGCCTTAAGCAATAAATAGATGAGGAGAGCATGTGGCTTCAACTGGGCTTATTAAAATAAATGAGTCCAATTTTCATTTGAAAGAGCAGTAACTACAGATGGCCAAAAAAACCACATTTAATTTTCATAGTTTATAGGGTGGTAGAAACAGAAAAGTGAAACTTTCAGGCTTTAAACCTCAGCCGTTGTCTTAAATTTGTGTTGGGTCACCAGAGTATGGTGACCAACTATATCGCCTCACCATTCAAATCAAAAGAAATGTCTTCTTTGAAGTCGTAAGACTCCAATAATGATGAGAAGTACCTTTTCTTGGTGGCCTCTCAGTGGCATGTGGGAGTTACATAGCTATGGAAACTGGGAGCATCACATCTTCCATTGAGAGACACGCACACGCACACGCGCGCGCACGCACACACACACACACACACACACACACACACGCAGGAATGTGACTGTTGGGTGTGGTCCCGTGGCCCAGCCTTGGGTGTAGGACAGCCATGTAGACTGAAGAGTGCTAGAACCAGTTAAAAATGGGGGTTTGGGAGTTCTGGTCCACCAGGTACCTCTTTGTAGTAGACACAGCCCCAGGATGCTGGCCTTAACTCTCCGTCTCTTTGCCTCTCCCTAACCCTAACCCTAACCCAAGCCGTTTTATGACACGTCCACCACTCTGCTGTCCACCACTCACACCCTCCCTTATGTGCTGCTAGTTCCTACTCAAAGCTCATGCAGGACTAATGCTTTTAAAATGAGGTCTAAAAAATAATTACTAATCAAGAGTATTATTTTTTAAACAGAACTGCCTTTTTCTATTCTTTATATAAACTCTATTGTGTTGGTCTAACAAGACACTATTTTAAAATGTTTTTAAAAAAATTTCTCCCATAGCACTTAAAAGATATTTTGTAAAGACTTTGCTGTAAAGATTTTGTAATAAAGTGGTCTAAGGGCTCCTTCTCCAACATTACCATTTAAAAAAAAATGTTTTAAAGGCTAGAAAACAACTTATGTATATTCTGTATATGTATAGCAGCACATTTCATTTATGGAAATATGTTCTCAGAATATTTATTTACTAATATATTTATCTTAAGCCATGTCTTATGTTGAGAGTGTGACATTGGAATAATCATTGAAAATGACTAACATGAGGCCCTGTAAATACATGATAATTGCACACAGATTTTACATATTTGCCGACCAAAAATGATTTAAAACAAGTTGTAGTCTTCTATGGTTTTGTAACAAATTGTACAAATGACTGTAAAAAAAAAATACAATTTTATCAAGTACATGTTATATATTGTCATTGCTCTATTTGGTAAAGGTCTACAGGTGCCACAAAGGAGAGGTCTGCGTGAAGCAGTGCCTAATAACATCAGCTCGCTCATGGGAGCATCTGTGTAACTTCCTCTCCTGTTAACACAGAGTTCAGGTTATTGGGGATCCAGGTGGTGTCTGGGCAAGTATCTGAGAGACAGTGTTTGAGATTATGTCCCTGAGGTGGTGATAGGTTTTCTGCTCAGCCCTATGGGGGGAATGGTGGTCAGTCCCGGCAGTCCACTTTTCGAACATAGGGACCGTAAACTGGGTATAACCATCGACTTCATCTGCTAAGCCTTTTCCTATCTGGAAGACTGAGGCCCTCCCGCCCCTCTTTAAGGAAAAGGGACTTGTAGGAAAAAAGCTTAAGCATCCAGCCTGGAAATGACCAAATCATGAAGGTGGAGAGGGGCCCTGAGTCTAAAGTGAATCTCATACCCATCTGTCTTGTTTCCCGGGGAGGGTAGTCACTGACCTGTAAAGTGCTCTGAGATCGCCTGGAAGGTGCAAAGTGGTGTTTATTCTTCGGACATCTAGCAGAGAATACCCTAATCCTGTGAGCTTCTGTCCCTATTTCTCGCTCTTTAACTTGGGCCATTTCTTGGGAGCATGCTCCTCGTGGACCTCTGGCCTCTTCCTGCCTGGCAGTGGGTCCTGAGCACCTTCAGGGGTGGCAGCCTGGCTGCAAAGAGCCTCCCAGGGCTTTGTTTTGATGGCCTTGCCCAGCTCCTAACTGTACCTCTCGGGGGTCCCCGAAGGATTCCACAGCATTGGCTCCACCACTGTGTGGTGCAGAGCCCGGTGGCCCTCTGTGCAGAGGCCATGGATGGTTAATGCATCCTCTGACAACTGCTGTCTCTTCCTGGTTTCCGGAAGTGAGGCTCGGCCCTTCCAGGACACTGTCCCAATGTCCCAGGGTAGCACTTGGGAGGCAGCCACGTGTTCAGCATATCTGCTCTCAAGATCTTGGCAGAGTGTTACTTTTTTCTCCTTTGAACTTTCTTTACTGTAGCCAGGAAGAAAGCAGAGAAGTCAAAGCTAAAACTTGAGAAGGGAGCTCAGGATAATTATCTGGGATTTGTGTCCCCAAGTCTTGGTTACAGCCACAACCAACATTTGTCTAGCATGTTCTAGTTTACCGAACTCCTTCACGGATACCGCTGTGAGCGTTTCCCCACAGCCCTGTAAGGTCAGCAGGAGACAGCTTTAAAGGCAAGGAAATTGGAATGGGTTTGCCCAAGGCCACACAGCCAGAAGGTGGACCACAGCTGTTACCTACTGAGTGCCACCCAGGACCCTAAACATCTACTCTGTGCCAGGCTCTGCTCAAAAGCCCTTTGCATGCATTAACTCATTTCATCCTCATGAAACCCTGTGAAGGGAGGGCTGTTTCTCCACATCTTATAGATGACAAAAACCAAGGTAGAAAGAGACTGAGCCCACGGTCCCCCCTCAATTACGGTCAGAGCTGGGATTTGAACACTGACCACCTAGCTCCAGGGTGCATTCTGAGCTCTGCTGGCCACCGTGGACTAATGGAGCTGGACTCAGATCAGGCCTCTGGACACCAAGTTCTCCATGTGGACGTTCATGACCAGGTCTGTGGCTCAGCTCTGGGGTTCAAGCATGTGCATCTGAGCCTTTCCCATCCTCATTTTTGCCTCAAGTCAAGTTTCTTTTGTCTCCACTTCTGAAAGCCACTTTATCCTCCTCTCAAACTGAGCAAAGGAGAAACATGCATGACCCCAGATCTGTCCTCTTTCCACTAAATCACGCCCCCACCCCCATCCTGACCCCCAACAATCCTGTCTTTAACTTCAGGGTTTCCTTCTCTTGGCATGAAGACCTAGCTTACCTTTCGCTCTCCCCACCCCATCACATTTTCTCCACCACCAGCCATCACCTACCTCGTTGACGCCTCCTGCAGGCCTCCTGTGCCTGGGTGAACCTGGCCACTGCCCCACTGGCCACTTGCTGTTGGAACTGATGGAGTTTCTTATCCCGCCCCGCTGGGTGGCTTTCGTGGCTGAATCATCCTTGGGCTTTAATCTCTTTGAGGGTTTCGCATCTCGTACTGGGCAGCATTTCTCCTTCAGTTGTCGCCTGAACAACAGTTTAACCAGGGAGAAGGAACTGGCAATTAATGGGTTCTTTACAACTTCCCAAGAAGAGGTGGTACCTGGTACGGGAGCATTGATGTTCTGCTTTGCACACTTTCTGGTTGTCCAGATGTTGGTGAGAGCTGGCGAGTCCACATAGCAGTCCTGAAGCCTGGTGTTCAGTAAGATAGACTGTCAGAGTCCATAGGTGGGGTTGCTGGGATCTCATCTCACAGAGATTGGATGCTAGCATTATAAGGGGGAGAAAAGGAATAAAAAAGGCCAATTCTCAAGCAGAGACTAGAAGGTCTACTTTGGAGGTAAAGTATTAACATCTTTTTATAGACCATTCCTTCCACACAGCTTTTAGAAATCTTTCTGCACAACCTCTCTCCTGCTCACCAAAACCTTTTGTACCAAGTAGTTCCGGAAGCAGTAGAACTTCACAAGGTCACAGTGATGGTCAGGTTCTCAGAGAACATAGCATGCTTGGGCTGGAAGCGGAGGGAGGGTCAGAGAGCATTTATAAGGAATTAAAGACCATTTCTGTCCCCTGGAAAGCTAAGGGAACCCATGGCAGGAAAGGAATGAGAGATGGGATCACTCAAGCTTCCTATAGGAGCTGTAGCCACTCCTCAACTATGCTGCAACCCAGAAATGACAGCAGGTAAAATCGTGCCAAGCCCTGAAATCACTTTCTTACCAGACTGCCATGAGCCAAGAAAAGCTGCTAAGCAGGGAAATATACTCTGGGGTCTAAAAAGGCAAAAGCACAATGTAAATGATGCTGGCCTCCATTTCTTGGGACCAGCCAAGAACAAGAGAACAATTTGGATAGATTAGAATCACACACTTGAAGAGACCTGGCTTTCTAAGGAATGTCATCTATAATAAAATAAAATCACCTTACCATATTTCGGTTGCCTTAAATTTTATTTTAGTTAGCTTAGTAGGGGGAAGAAGTATGTATTTTCTTTTCCCTTTTTCTCTGTTTTGTTTTGTTTTACTATTTCTATCACCTGTCTTTCTCTGCCTCAGTCATGTATGGGCAAATTGCTGTTTGTTTAGATTTTGCCTCTCATGCAGTTTTGAACCATTATCTCTAGTATTTGTGATGTCACTTTGGTTTGTGATGTGGGTGTGGGTGGGTGTTACATCATCAGATTTTTATAGTTAAATTATGTTGGAAGAATTTCTATTTTCTTGTGCTTACAGCCTCAGGAACTTCTCAAGCCCTCATTTTCCCCAATATGGCACGGGTGAATTTTGAAGGTTCTGACATTCTTAAGAAGCACACTTTGCACTCAATGTAGTCAAATATGCAGACCAGATTTGTGGATACAGGTAGCGAGATGCATCCTTACCGGTGCGAAAGGGCCCTTCTCCGTGCACATAAAGAAGGTACTGTTAAGTTCTCAGAATAGCTGCCAAGGCTAGGGACCAGAAATGAAAGAACACGTTCCTGCAGCCCTGGGCACCTCTGCCCGCATGTCTCTCCCAGGGAGAATACATGGTTTCTGGAATGCGGTTTTATTTTACATCCCATGGCAAATGCAGTAATTAGAGCTGTTAGCAGTGTCAAGGGCTTGAAACAAGAACAAAGACGCCTCTTCCTGGGAACTCTTGGGCAATGCCTATCTCCTTATCAGGTGCCTGCCCTGTTGGTGGTTTTAATTTTTCATGTACAGAATGCCAAAGGAGGCTCCCTCTCTGGGGGAAGGAGAGCGAAATGGTGGAAAAACAGAGTATGAGTCTGGCAGGAGTTCCTGGAATCACATGCGTTGCCTGTTTGATTTTTTTGTCCCTGGAGTGAATCAAAGTCGCAGGCAGACCGCACCGCAGGCCACCGTGGAACCGCCACCAGGCCACCGGCATCTGGACCCACAGATGCTTGGGAGGACAATGCGGTCCATTCAGTGGCAAGCTCTGGCCTCACCTCTCGAGAGGTGGGTCAGTTTTAGAGCTGGGCGTTGGAAAGGGTTTGTCTTTGGGAAGGGTCTGCAAACGTCTGGAGACCGGGCAGGCAGGCATCCTTTCAAAGCCAGTGAACACTGGAGAAGTGCCACCAGGCTCTGGGGCTACGGTCTGCCTTTACTCTGCATGGCAGGGACAGAAGGGCAAGAATGGCACATGGAGCTGCTCTTCTGCTTTCCTTCTCTCCTTCCCCATCTTGAGGTTGACTTTCCCACACCACCTCTTTCCAGACACTCAAATGTATTTACTTTCCTAGGCCTTTGACTCAAGGACCACTCAGTGTCTCCTTCTAGCACAGAGCTGTTCGCACAGATGGCAGCTGATACAGACTCTTCAAGTTCTATCAAATTCTTCTCTCCCTTCTGTGTAACTCCCTTCATTGACCCTGCCCTAGTAGTAAGCCTCACGTTCCTTAGAAATAACTCAGGGTAATTTGGCCTGTGCTATTTCTATTTCAGTAAAATCTGTGTTGATTGAATGCTCACTGTAGTCCAAACATGGCTCTAGACAACACTTTACCAACATCATCTCACCAAATGCTACCAACAGTCTTCTGCATGAGTTTGGGTGCTGCTGCCATCCCTACTTTATAGATGAAGAAACTGAAGGTCAAGGACTTCCCTGGTGGTCCAGTGGTAAAGAATCTGCCTTCCAATGCAGGGGACGTGGGTTCAATCCCTGGTTGCGGAACTAAGGTCCCATATGCTGCGGGGCAACTAAGCCCGCATGCCACAACTACTGAGCTCTTGTGCCCCAACTAGAGAGCCCGAATGCCGCAAGCTACAGAGCCCACGTGCTCTGGAGCCCGCGTGCCACAACTAGAGAGAGAAAACCTACACACCACAACTAGAGAGAAGCCCATACCTCAACGAAGAGCCTTCATGCTGCAACTAAGACCCGACACAGCCATAAATAAATACATTAATTAATTAATTAAAATTTTTTAAAAAGAAAAGAAACCGAAGGTTCAGTTGCTCAAGGACCATGCCTCAGGCCCAAAAGCTAGTAACCAACAGAGGCTGGACTCAACCCAACCAGGGTCTATACCACCTTTGCTCTTATCCACTCAGAGCTATGCTGTGATACTTTGCCTTGCATCTGGTTGGCCCATCCACGTACCACACCTGGGCACGGACCACATCAAGTCCTATTGATGGCTCCCAGATCCATTTCTCAATGGGCAAGTGAATTCACATCTCTGGGCTTTACTTTCCTCATCTGTGAAATGCAGATAGTAGGAGTGCCTACCCCAGGATCACTATGCGGAGGAAATGGGACAATGCATGTGAAGCACTTGGCATGGCTCCTGGCAGAGAGTAAGTGCTCAGTAAATAAAGTTCTAATTAATGTTCTTTTGGTTTTTTTTGTTTTTTTCTGGCTGTGCTGTGAGGCATGCGGGACCTTAATTCCCAAACCAAAGATTGAACCCACGCCCCCTGTGGTGGAAACACGGAGTCTTAACCACTGGACCACCAGGGAAGTCCCTAATGTTATTAACATTATGGCACATTCACTCATCTGACCCCTTCTTGAGCCCCTGTTGCTCATGGTCTGAGTGACTTAACCCAACATTTTATAGGAACTTCATCCCAGGTCCTTAGTTGTGTGCCCATCTGGTTTATGAGGCCAAGCAATGAACCTCTTTTTTTTTTTAATTGAGGTATAGTTTTTCAGATTCTTTTCTATTATAGGTTATTATAAGCTATTGACTATAGTTCCCTGTGCCACACAGTAAATCCTTGCTGTCAAGCAATCAGCCTCTTGAAACGGGGGATGATTCTGATCTGACTTGGGTATCATGACATTTCTTTTCCCACGATCCATCTTCACTAAACATTTGTCAGATTCATCAACCTTATGGAGGTGATGTATCTACAGGAGCTACATTTCCCCCTGGTTTTAGAAGTTGTCCCGAATATCCCTGCTTTGTTAGATGGAAAGGGAAGCAGGTACCTGAGGATACACTAAGGAAAGTAACTAGTCTTTAACAGAGGTTGTTCTGTTGAAGGTTGTTCAGAAGTATAAAGTCAGGATGGAAAGACTCTATTTGATCCAGGGTCCTGAAACCATGGCAAGAGTTTCCATTGTTGGTGCCAACACTTGATCCAGAGACCTTGGGGCTGAGACCATAGGGCTTCCATGTTGCTGAAAGTCCTGTTCCTGAGTTTGGCTCGCCAATGAACCTTTTTCACTCTGCTGAGATCAGTCTAAATAACCTTTATTTTCCACCCATCCTTTGGAGCTGTTCTTCCTGACATATCTAAACCACCGCTTCTGTCTGGAAACACATCTGCCCGTCTCTGATGCTTAGCCAGTCTCTGCTCAATGTATTTTTAGCTCCGATAATCTTTCTTCTTTCTTTCTCTCCTCTACTACCACTCTTCTCTCTAATTTCTCTGAGCTCCTGTTGTCTTTCCGGAGGGTCAGGGAATAAAGAGGAAATTGAGCCGGGCTTCCCTGGTGGAGCAATGGTTAAGAATCCTCCTGCCAATTCAGGGAACACAGATTTGAGCCCTGGTCAGGGGAGATCCCTCATGCCGCAAAGCAACTAAGCCCGTGCGCCACAACTACTGAGCCTGTGCTCTAGAGTCGGCGAGCCACAACTACTCAGTCCACTCGCCGCAGCTACTGAAGTCTGCGCACCTGGAGCCCGTGCTCCGCAAGGAGAGAAGCCACCGTGATGAGAAACCCGCACACTCACCAAAGAGCAGCCCCGCTCTCCGCAACTAGAGAAAGCCTGCGTGCAGCAACGAAGACGCAACGCAGCCAAAAATTAAAAAAAAAAAAAGTTAAAAAAAAGAGGAAATTGAGCCAATTTATATGAATTCTCATCTTCCTCCTTCATGCCCCACCCCCAAATTCTAGTGGAATTTAGTTGTTTTTAATTTCCTCAGAAGATGTTTTTATTTTAACACCCAAGCAAGTAAACTTCCACACCCATATGGGAACACATCTGAGGTTTGTGATGTAGAAGTTTTAGGAGAGAAGAGAAAAACTTTGGATGAGAGAACTTGAAAAGATTCCTGAACCATGATGCAAACTCGGAGGACCAGTGATTTAGACCACATGTGCTGAATACACACCTATCACGGGCCAAGTATGTGAAATGAGGTTGCCCTGCCCATTCTGCCACCCCTTCTCACCTGGCTCAGAGTTCTCAGATGTGGCCACCTGGATGCCCCACAGACACTGCTAACTTGTTATGTTCAAAACCAAATTCTTTTTCTCCCTTCACCCCCATCAGAACAGACTAACTACTGCTGCTCTTGAATTTTCCATCACTAGTTGCCTGACCCAGAACCTGGGAGACAGGATCAATGCTGAGATGAGCCTGAGGCTAAAGGAAAATCAGGAATCTAGGTCCTGTTTTTATTTAAAGTTTTGAGATTCTGTTCATCATTAATTTTTTTTTTTTTGCAGTACGCGAGCCTCTCACTGTTGTGGCCTCTCCCGTTGCGGAGCACAGGCTCCGGACGCGCAGGCTCAGCGGCCATGGCTCACGGGCCCAGCTGCTCCGCGGCATGTGGGATCTTCCCGGACCGGGGCACGAACCCGTGTCCCCTGCATCGGCAGGCAGACTCTCAACCACTGCACCACCAGGGAAGCCCTGTTCATCATTAATTTTTTGACATTCATTTAGAGTTTTTAAAGATATTGCATTAAAACACTGTCCATTAAATATATTTAATATATTTAAAAATTGATTAAATATTTGTCTTGATTACTGAGTTTTGGGGGGCCCCCTTAAATCTTGTGCCTGAGGCCAATGCCTCACTTGCCTCACCCTAATCCCAGCCCTGGACCACTCAGTAGGCATTGGTTGCTAGAACCCCATAAAGATAAGAAGGCAATTCACCACTGTGATGAGGAGTAGGGTCCAGAAGTCCCACTGCCTGGGGTCATAGCCCAGCTCCACCACTAGGCAACCTTTAAGCAAGCCATTTAACCTCTCTGTATGAAGGGGCTCGTAAGAGTGCCTCCCTCATAGGGCTACCGTCATATGAGAAATGTGATGACACACATTGCACACTGCTGAAAGCTTAGTAAAATCCTCAGTAAAGGTTTGCTATTCTTGTTATTATAATCAGACTCCTCATCCAGTGCTCTCTCCACAACATGACTGCCCTTTGAGTAGAAATCACCGCAGCTGGAGTTTCAAAGATACCAGGATCGCCCAAACTCCACCAGCTGAGATCTCTCAGCTTCTTGGCAAATCCTGCTGCCCTCGGGAGGAATCCAAGGGCCTGACTGCAGAGCCGGCAGACAGACAGACACCAATATCTTCCTGGAGGCCCAGGGGCTACAGTCAATGCCCTCACTCTTTCCATGAAATAAAGCTGCTTAAGGACTGAGGCATGTGAAGTATTGAAATGAATATCTCAGGCAGCTCCTTGCCAGGGCCAGGGACCACATAACTGAGCAAAGACTTTGAGCCATTACGTGCCCTGACCTAGACCTGCTCGGTTGTATTTTTAGCCTCTGTGTGCTGTTTCCATCACCTGTGCTGGGCTTTATGCTGGAAAAGAGGGGAGGGAGGGCTGGGGACAGCTAGAGAGATGTTTCTCATGGCAGCCAGTGGGGGCAGAAGCTTGCACACTATTTCTGAGCTCTGTTGTACAAGCCAGCTTTCATGGGCTTGCAACATTTCAGGGGTGTGTGTAGTTAATGACACAGGCCCCCCCGAGCTTAGAAGGACCTCAGGCTTGGTTTAATGCTCTGTTGTCACCATCTTGAAATTCTTAAAAATTTTGAACAAGGGGCCCCACATTTTCATTTTCATTTTTCACTGTAGCCCATTCTGGTTACACAAGGCCAAGAGAGCAGAATAAAGGAAGGAGTCTGGTACCCAGTCAACAGGGGTGCCTTTCTGCAGGGCAGTAAGACAGATGGGAGCTACTACCATGAGGCATAAATCCCCAGACTTGGCCAAATAAACCTGATTTTGAATCTCCGCCCCCCATCTGCCTCTTCTTATTTCCTCCTCTGAAACTAGGATGAGATATGAAAGGACCTTGTAAACTGTAGACAGCTGTGTCCCGCTTTGCTAAAACCTTTCCCCTGCACTCTGTTTAAAACAGTCCACAGAGCACACTCTGTCAATATCATCATTTTCTTGTTTTTGTAGTACATTTTGCTCTCTGAAATTCACATTATTTTCCTGTTGCTTGACTGGCCTCTCCCCTCCGTTTGAGTGTCAGTTCTAGGAGTGTAAGTTCTTGTCTTGCTGGTGCTCTTGACAGGCTCCACACTGAATATTTGTTGAATGGAGGAGGGATCACGCTTACTGAGTACTTGCTTTGTGCTGATGGTTTTACCTGCATCTTCCCATTTTATTCTCCTTCTTCTAGGGCTTCCTGCCTGGGAGGGTGCAAGTTAAGAGTTGAAGCATTCCCAGGTTATGTTGAAGGAGGTGATTTTGGAGGTGGGGAAGGGCCCAAAATGGTGCAGGAGAAGGTAAGCAAGAGTGGGAGACACCAGGTGGGATGTGGAGGACATCCCCCTGCTCCAATAAGGAGCCAGAGGATTCTCGACCTTGGTAATGACCCAGGGAAAACAGTGATTGAACAAGCATACTCTTGCCGTGGCACTGGGTCGTGTGGGTAGTGTGACGGAGCCAAGAAGCCTTGTGGGAGTAGTTGTGCCTTTGGGGCCCAGCTCTGGGAGCAGCTGGGATGGGGGGATGGTTGGGGGCGAGGTGGCGGGTCTTGGGACCGGGCGAGGGGGATGGCTAGGGGGCGAAGGGGCTGGTGCACCTAAGGCGGGCCGGGGACAGCCCAGCCCCGCTCAGGGCGCGGCGAGTCAGCACAGGAGGGCTGAGGTTCCCGCCGCCGCGTGGGGCACAGGCCCGCACTTGCAAGTCTGGGACGAGGGACTTAAAAGCGCCCGGCGCACCGCCCGGACCTGCCCCGCGGGGCGTCACCGCGGCAGTTTAGGCTGGAGCCGAAGGAAAATCTCTGCCTGGGGTAGTGTGGGGGAGGAGAGAGGCCCACCACAGGCCCCGGGGGCGGGCGGGGAAGACCTTGTGGGGGAGTGAGGCCACGCGGGGCCGAGAGTTTAAGCGAGCCACGCGCTCTCTGCGTCCCGGGATGGCAGTGTCTAAGAAAGCACCATTGCCCCACCCACTTCTGGATTTTCGTGGTGTCGGGCGCTTTACTTGCATCTATCTAATCTAATCTAATCAAGTCTTGTGAAGACCTTTTAATATTCCTATTTTGCAGATGACAAAGAGCAGGAAACATGCCCCAGCTGACAAAAAATGTGCGATAGGATTCGGAACCGGGGCTCAGTATGCTGCCTCTTTTGTGGCTGCAAAAATTGGGTTGGTGAAAGGAACTCAACATTTTCTAAGCTCCTACTGTGTGTGTGTCAAAGTTTCCACGCATTGTCTCATTTAGTACAACCTCTTTGGGAGTAATTGCTATTAACGTCCCCATTTAACAGATAAGGAAATTGAAGTAAGAGAGCTATTTTTCTTTTAAATCCGCCCAAGATTTTACAGGTGATCAAGTGGGATATGAACCCGGACAGGCTGACTCCAGAGCACACTTTTTTAAACCGCTGTGATGAGCCAAGCAGGGAAAAGCGGTTTGCAGACTGCTGTTCTGACTACTACGGCTGCGGCTGAGCCCGCGTGTGGGTCACGACCCGAGTGAGGGTGGAGCAGGGGGTCACTGGGCGCCCGGCCCGGTCCCGCCGGGTCAAACCTCCGCTTGTGGACTCGGAGTCTGTGCCCCAGGCTCCGCCCCTCACCTGCTGGCCCCGCCCCTCGAACCAACCAAGAAAGTGGTCCGCGGTTGGGCGGGCCCAGGTGCAGGGGGGATGTGGGTGGGGCCTGGGGCGTGAGTGGCAGGCGCGGGCGGGGCGAGGCGGGCGTGCGCAGTCGGCTCCGCCCCTCGGGCCTCGCGGCGGAGCCTGGCGGGCCGCTGGCGGCAGGGGCGGTGGCGGCGCTGGGGAGGGCGGGCCGGGGCGGGACGGCCGGGCGGCCGGGGCGGGGCCACGCTCGAGCTTAGCGTCCCGCTCCCATGGCCGCCCCCGGTTCCCTGCGTTGCCCCTTCTCCCCCGGGCCGCGCCCCGGGGCCCCGCACTGACGGCCCATGGCGCCGCCCGCCGCCCGCCTCGCCCTGCTCTCCGCCGCCGCGCTCACGCTGGCCGCCCGGCCCGCGCCCAGCCCCGGCCTCGGCCCCAGACCCGGTGAGTGAGCTGCACCCCCACCCCCGCTCCGCCCGTCCTGCGCGGAGCCCGCCCGGGGGCCCCAACTCCCTCGCCCCTGCTTTCTGGGACTCCTTCTCCAGCCCTTCAGCGACGCCCCTCAGACGGGGCGGCCCCTCTCCTCAGGACCTGGGACTCCCCCAGACCCCTTCAGCCGCCCTCGGCCAGCGCCCTGTCTGCCTCAGTACCTCCCAGACCCTTTGGTCAGGCTCCTCAGCGACGTCCCCCCGGCCGGGATGTCTCCTCTGTCTCAGGACCCGGCACCCCCAGCTCAAGTCCCTCAGCGACTCCCCCCGGGCCGGGACGCTCCCCCACCCCGCCTCAAGACGCTGCCCCCCCGCCAAGCCCCTCAGCGACACCCGGGGCCAGGATCCCCTCCGCAAGCCCCACAACGACGCTCCCAGTCCCCCCTCCCACTCACGCCCGCGAACCCTGAGTCTACCCGCTCACGACCGGGTGCGGAGGCGACGGGAGCGGGCACCCGGCCCCTCTGCCCGGTCCCGGCTGCACCCGCTTGCTCAACACTAATTTCTGAGTACAAGTCGAGGAGAGTAAAGTTGACCTGCCCGCCCTGCTAGAGGTAGACCTGGGTCCGGAGACGACCGGCTCTACCCAGCCAGAACATTCCTTCCCTAGCCATCCCCCACCCCACCGGGGCCGCTTTGAACTTCCCCGTGACTCGGTGCAGGTCCAGCGTGGAGAGGGGAAGAAAGTAAGGGGTGATGGGAATCTTCTCCCCTACAGAGCTTAGGGTGCTTATCCTGAGAGTGCAGTGCAGAGCACTCGTTTCCCCAGTAGGCCCACACTTTAAACAGGGTAACCCGCTCCCCAGGCCAAGGTCAAGGCCAGGTCTTCCCCAAGTGGGGCCCTAGACCAGGATGGAAGCTGGGACTTTGCTTAGTTTGCCCGCACACCCTTCCTTGCAACAGAACTCTCCAAGTTGAAGAGCAGGCAAGGGGGCGTTGTCTGGCCCAGGTACATTGGTCCACAAGTTGTTCAGGTGTTGAGAATTCGGCATTAATGGAAGGGACGGGAAAAGTGCATTACAGGTTTGCTGAAGTAAGAAAACCGGCCTCTGGGTTCTCCACCCAAAGTCGCAGACTGTGATGTTGGAGAGACAGGATTTTGCTGATGAAAGAAAACTCCAAGTTGCTTTGTTTACTTTCCAGCTTGGATTTGTGATAAAGATAAGGATTTAGTGTTGTCACTTACTATGTGACTTTGGGTTGTGCCTTCAGCTCTCTGAGCCTCAGTTTCCTCATCTGTAAAGGAGGGATGATGATAACTCCCTTGCAGGGTGTTGTGAAGATTAAATGATGTACTGCAGGTAACACACCCACATATAGCAGGCAGTCACTAAACATATTTAATACTTCTTTTTTATAGTGCTTTAAACTATAGTGTATACTATAGTATACACTATAGTGCTTTACACCAAGTGCTGGACACCTCCTTTGCCCTGGGAATGCTATGAGCTTCCAGTCTGATTAATCCCTGTTAAAGGCAAAGCTTGGCTTTAGAGTGGTAGAAGGGGGCTCTCCAAGTGCTATAAACCTTAGGCTCAGGAAGTGGTTTCTGAGTGATCAGTGGCCTTCCAGGGGACAACTACAAAAACTTGTGCAGAAGTTTGATCACTTCTACTGTTTGCTGTATGTGGGGAATGAAGGAGGGACTTTCTGAGAGCCAGGATATGTCAACATAACTGTAACCTAGTAACCCCTTGGCTCCACTTTGCCATATGTGTGGTCAGGATTTAATGTCCTCTATGGAGAGAGAGGTATGGGTGGAAATAAACTGTTTCCTCTCCTGGAAAGGGCAGAGTAATAGCTCTGAAAAGTGTTCAGTGAGCCAGCTGTGTGCTTATGCTTGTTGGAAGGTGGCACCCTCTCCTCAGGCACCTTTGCTTTGCTTGGAAGGGTCAAATGCAGCAGCTCTTATGTAGTTTGAACCTCAGACCTTGGAGTGTGCTTTTATTGGAGTCTGGGATAGGGACTAATAAATAACCATTGTGAAATGATTTATGATAAGTGGCCCATGTTCCCAATTCAGTGAGCCTCACCAGCTTTTTTCCCTCCCATCCTAGTACATCAGTGCCTTTGTGACTTCTCCTCTTTAGTTCCAGAGGCAGTTTTAGGGAGATACCACATGGTCTTCAGCATCACATCCTGTCTAGAGCCTACCCACTAGTTTTTTAAAATCCTTTCCAATGAAAAACACGTTTTACTCTGAGGATATGCCAAACTTGACATTTCATATTTTTGATACTGTAATTTTCTCTAAAATTTTGTGGATGGAAAAAATTATTTCAATACTTATATTCTGCATAATTTTGTAATATTTAAATTACTGGTGGTTTGCATTTTTGAATGCTGACTTTATAAAAAGTTAGCTCATTCCCTATCAGTGCTACTTCTAATTACAGTGTGTAGCCAACCCCAGATGACCTCCCTTCTCTTCATTCTTTGAGATTCTTTCCCTTCCTTCACAACTGATAAGGAGGAAGGTAGAGGTTAGTGGTGGAATCTAGACTCCCTTTTCAAGGAGGAAGGCAGCCAGGGCTGTGGGCTGATGGGCTCTCTGAAGTGAACTCCCATCTGGAATTTACTGACCTGCAGGGGACAGCCGAGAGGTAGGAAGAGCAGAGAAGGCTGAGTGGACTTCAGCTCTGAGTTTTCCGCCTAAGGCATATACCTGCTTGGGTGTTTCACCACATTTAGGGGCTTTCAGGTGTGCGTCAGCGGAGTGTATCAACTCTGGTTATGTTTGCTGTGAACAGCCTTTTATGCTTATTCTCCTCCAGCTCCTCATGTAGAATTTGTCCCATTAGACAGCAGTGTGTCTTGCCATAAAACCCATGAGTTCAGTTAACAGTGAGAGCTTCATACTGTACAGGGCCTTATCCCTCTTGGGGACTCCATTAATGTTGTATAGAATTACCTGTATACATCCCAGGGGCTGAGAGGAGTGAAGGGGACTAACGTGCATACCATTTACTTTTATGTATTTTAAGAAACAGGAAATTATCAAAACTGACCTGGCATCAAAGAACTCTGATCTTTTTGTGAAAATTTTTGGCCCCTCGACAAAGCTGTTTAAGTGTTTGAGATGTGCAGTGAGACCTTTTATAAATCTTAGAGCAAAATGAACTTCAATTTAGGCTCACTGCTAATAAACAGCAAGTTGGTACACTTAATATAGATATTATTGATACACTTACTTATGATTTAGCATATGTGGATCAAAAGCGATAAATGATGAAGGTAAAATATATTGCTTTAAATTGCTTCGCAATATACAGATTAGGAATTTTGGGTGATGGGCAATATACCATCTTTAGTTTAGAATTTTTGAGGCTATAATGCCATCTTAGGCTCTAGGTCAGGTAGGTGTCAGCAAACATTTTTTGTAAAGGGCTAGACAGTAAATAATTTGGGCTTTGTGGGCCATGTACTGTCTGTTGCAGTACAACAGCTGCAGAATCTCAAAGAATGAAGAGAAGGGAGGTCATGTTTATAGAGCAAAGCAGCCATAGACAGACTGAATGGATAGGTGTGGCTGTCTTCCAAGAAAACTTACATGGACACCGATATTTGAATTTCATGTGATTTTTTTAACAGTTTTTTAAAATATTTATTTTTGGCTCTGTTGGGTCTTCATTGTTGTACATGCGGGCGTTCTCTAGTTGCAGCGAGTGGGGGCAACTCTTTGTTGTGGTGTGTGGGCTTCTCATTGCGGTGGCTTCTCTAATTGTGGAGCACGGGCTGTAGGCGTGCAGGCTTCAGTAGTTGTGGCACGTGGGCTCAGTAGTTGTGGCTCGCAGGCTCTAGAGTGCAGACTCAGTAGTTGTGGCACACAGACTTAGTTGCTCCGCAGCATGTGGGATCTTCCCGGACCAGGGCTCGAACCCATGTCCCCTGCATTGGCAGGTGGATTCTTAACAACCAGGGAAGTCTAATGTGATTTTTATATGTCACAAAATACTGTTCTTTTGGTTGTTTTCAACCGTTTAAAAGTTTAAAAAGCATTTTTAGCTCATGGGCCATACAAAAACAGGCAGTGGGCCAGAGTTGGCCTGCAGGCTGGACTTGACCAAGTCCTGCTCTACGTCCATATGCGTTGATTTTTTGCAGTGTTCACTGGTCTGGAAAAGTGACAGGGAGGCTTGCTGAATGAACCTTTTACCTTTTACTATAAACTAACTTTAAGAGGCATGGGAGAAATGGTTAAAAAGGTAAATTTTGTGTTAGGTATATTTTACCACAATTAAAAAAAAACATATCGAGGGAGGGAAATTTCATACACATACATTTGGATCTTTAATAAGACTTTAAAAAATACTTTAAAAAGAAATTCAGGGGCTTCCCTGGTGGCGCGGTGGTTAAGTCCGCCTGCCAATGCAGGGGACACGGGTTCGTGCCCCGGTCCAGGAAGATCCCACATGCCGCAGAGCCGCTGGGCCCGTGAGCCATGGCCGCTGAGCCTGCGCGTCCGGAGCCTGTGCTCCGCAACGGGAGAGGCCACAACAGTGAGAGGCCCAAGTACCGCAAAAAAAAAAAAAAGTAATTCAGTATGGTTCAGTGTGCACTACATAAAGAAAATAGAGCCTTCCTCGGAACCAGCGCATTGTTTGTTCAGCTATGCAGATGTTGCTTGGATCAAACTGTTGAGAGATTTGTTTCTCAGAGGAAAGCCCAGGCAGCAGGTGGCACCAGCCCTGAGACATTAAAAAAAAAAAAGAAAGAAAGAAAAAAAGAAAACAAACTTCTGTCACTTTCCTAAACAGTTGAATGGTTCTATTGTCATTTTTAACGTGGCCTTTAAAAAACAACAGTGTGCTTAGCATGGATGATTATTTTGTTTTAATTAAAACATTTTCGAAAAAACGAAATGAAACACTCAAACATACCAAATTGATTGTGTTTGTACTGTGGAACAGTTAATGCAAAACACTTGGGAGAGGCCGTAAGTTTGGATCTGTAGTT